CAAGTGGACACCATAAATAGCTTAGAAACAGGTGAAGAAAAATCGCCAAAGGGCGTAAATACGTTAAGAAAGCAAGAACCGTTAAGTCTACCCGACTACGGACGATTTAGCAGCTTTAAGAAATTCCTTGGAGCAACTACACGCACCTTACAAGCGGTAGAAAAATTCAAGAGTTTAAGAAAGTCGGTTAAAGGACCCGACGACGCAACCGAAAAGTCGGTTATGTGTTCCAACAAAGTTTTAGCAAAGTCGGTTAAAGGACCCGATAGCGCGTTGGACACAGCGCTCTTGAAAAAAGGCGGAAATATTAATTTGGAAATTCATTCAAGACGAGTGTTTTCATTCGGAAATAAAATGTTTGAAAGCAGGCAAAAGCGTTGAAAGAAGTTCACGCTTAAGTAAATTATCTATGGAAATAGGAGAGGATAACTTACTCCGTTTAAATGGACGTTTACCTTTCAAGTCTAATTTGACCGAGGAAAGTAGAAAACCTGTCATATTAGACGGTAAACACGAAATCGTTAAAATGATGATTAGAGAAGTTCATCATCATTTTGGACACGCCAATCACCAGACGGTGATGAATGAGGTGAACCAGAAATTTTACGTCTTGAACTTGCGTAATGTAGTACGAAGTGTGTCACACCATTGTCAGTGGTGCAGGACATACAGGTCAAAGCCGCAAAACGTGCCACAAGGAAATATTCCTCTGGAAAGAATAGCTCATCATGAGCCACCTTTTACATGCTCAGCTGTAGATTATTTTGGTCCTATGAGTGTGACTATAGGAAGGCGACACGAAAAACGTTGGGGCGTTTTATTCACGTGTCTAACCACCAGAGCAGTACATCTGGAATTAGCAGCCTCATTGACACCAGCGTCAATGATAATGGCGTTAAGGCGATTTATCGCCAGAAGAGGAAAACCAGCCGTTATATACAGCGATAACGGGACAAATTTCAAAGCTGCAAATAAAGAATTATTGAAAGCATGCGAAGAATGCTATGAGGGCATGAAAAACGAGTCATTTAAGAAATATATTAAATGGAAATTTATACCTCCGGGAGCACCGCACATGGGTGGCGCCTGGGAGAGGTTAGTAAGATCGATTAAAATTGCGTTGACCGCTACGCTTAAGGAGAAGAGCCCACGAGAGGAGGTTCTACATACGTTACTTTTAGAAGCAGAGCATACGGTAAATTCCAGACCTCTGGTAACATTCAGTATGGATAGTCCTGAAGAGGGTTTGACACCCAATCATTTTCTTCTGGGACGCTCATGTGGTGATCGACCACCTGGATTATTTTTAGAGCGACATCTGACGGGTCAACTCAATTGGAAAGCTGCACAGAGGTTAGCCGACCATTTTTGGACAAGATGGCTGAAGGAATACATGCCTACGTTAATACCTCGAACAGGTGATAACGGCAAGTTCATGGAACCTAAAGAAGGCGATATTGTTTTGATAATAGATCATTCGTTGCCACGAAATACGTGGCCAAAAGGTAAAATTAGTAGAACGTTACCGGGACCAGACGGTCACACCAGAGTGGTTGACGTCATTACTAGCACAGGTATCTTGAGGAGACCTACATCCAGAATAATAGTCCTGGTACCCGCGACGCCTCCCAAATGATGGTGCTAACGCACGGGGGGGGAGATTGTTGGCGACGCGCCTATAAAAATGTTTCAGTTTATTAAATCAACCGATGACGTTGCTATGAAAAAAGGGGCAGTCACGAGCAACGACGCTCTGATAAGAGAATGCTTAGTTAAATCTTTAAGAAATGTCGAATTAATGATATGAAGGTCTTGGGTTCGACTCCCAGGCCGGACTAGTTTGTTTGTTTTCCTAAGTAATATCGCTTAATAAATTCGTAAGGAATTTAAGATATAAATTATGTTACCGGATTTGTTCCCCGGTCGAGATAATCACTCTGTGCATAGGCAGAATTAATGGATATTAATTGCATAAATGTTGTTTTGTATAAGTTTGATACGTTTTGTACGAAAACAAATGCCTATTTGTTATGATTGATTAATGAGAACATTCATTTATATTGTTATCTGATTAAAGATAGTTTCATACAGTTCGAAAATTGTATAAAAGCATTTAATTTGCCTAATATGGTCAAAATTGGTGTATTTCATAATTTAATTTTTTCTGATAGCCGAGAGCCGTGCAAAGTTAGTTGTTCACATAGCGTGAGTACACAGAAGCACGCTGGCCACGCCCTTAGGAGGCCGAATATGTAAAAATTTAAAATGTTTGTAATTCAGTGATTTATGTAAAAATTACTTGTAAAATATTTCAGGTTAATTGTACGTGCTAAAAAAGGTAAATTCTGTGTTATTTTCATGTGAAAATTCCTGTGTATAAGTGAAATAATGATAGTTTTGTATAAGAAATTTAAAAGTGTTTTAAATAGTGAAATAAATAGAAAAAAATGTAAATTAAACTATTGTATTGGTTAGCTTATGTATAAATTCAAGTGAGAAACATTGTTTTAACTTTCTGTGTTAAATATTTAAGAAATTTCGATTTCGAACTTGTGAGTAAAATAGGCAGTTTTCGTTTAATAAATAAAAGGTTTTTTATGATATGAAGATATGATGTATATCATGGTGTAGACATTGTTTTGTACTACCTATATTGATAAATTGTATTTGTATATGATTTGAATAAATAAAGATATTGAGTAAAACGTGAGAGAGTAATAGAACAAATTCATGTAATTGAGTTGCGCAAGCGCGCGAATGGCGCGGCTCACTTTCGCGTATAGCTCTGGGGTAGGTTAGTAAATTGATTTTATTGCAATTCGTTCGGGAATCGTTCGGGAATCCTTCGGGGAAGTTCGGAAATAGTTCGGAAATAAATAAGAAAATCCGAGGAAAAGTTCAAGAAAAGTGAAAAACCAGCAGTATAGGGAAAAGTGATTACTCTCTCACGGAACGGTTTGAAGATAATTGCTGTTTCATTCCCAAGATCCTTTAAGTTATACAGTCCACATCGAAGAATTAAGGCGTCGGGACCGGGACGACTTCGGAAGACCCGTAATCCCCGTCTGAACCTACTTGCTGAAAAGGAAGAGGTTATCGCCCTAGTGTGTTACTCCGTTGCGGAGATCACATACGTTGTTCCCGAACCCAACGTAGGCGTGATAGGAGGCCGGATCGAGAGAAGCCTCGATTCCTGTTTCTTAGTACCCGATCCGCTAGGTCCTTTTCAATTGGTCCTTTTCAGGATCAAGAGGGACACCGACCTGGTCCTTTTCAATTGGTCCTTTGCGGCCGATTGAGAGGACGCCCGAACCTGAGTTCCTTTTCAACGAGTCTATATAACTAAAATCTAATGAACTGAATTTTATACTCTTTAAAAACCCCTGTGTAAAACCTAACTGGTCACAGGAATGAAAATTATTTATTTTTTAACTTCCCGCTATGAAAATCAATGATTTTCAAAAAATGGGGAAGTTATTGTTTTCACCCCGGTTTTTGAAAATCGAGTTCTCATCATATCTCGACGTTTCGAGGTCCTAGGAAGCTATTCTGGCCATTCTGGCCACGCTGAACTTACTTTCTGTGAATTTAGACCGAATATTCACGGTAGATTCTGAGAAACCTTCAAAAATTCGATATTTTTTTTATTTGCAAAAGTTGTTTTTTTTTTTGGAATTACTTCAACACCCTGGTTTTAAACAATGCTTAATCTAATCAGCTTTTCTACTCAAAAAACGACGTCGTTTGCCGTCAAATTCGAGAGATTTCGAATCGTCGATCGTTGTCGAAAGAAATCTCGAAGAAATATTTTTTTTTAAATAACTTGAAAACTTTCCGTGAAATAATTTTTTTGTAATAAGCTTTTTTATTTAGCTGAAAAAATTGCGTCGATTGCCGTAAATCACATCAAAATCGGTTAACTTGTTCGTGATATATTCATTTTTGAAAAAAAGTGTGTGAATATGGAGCGCTTTGATATTGAAAATAGCGGTAAGTTTAATTTAAATTCTTGAATGTAACATCTTAAAGTTAAGGGTATATAGCATGGAATTAATGCTAAGTTGCATTCTCTGCCAGTCAACCCTGGATGCCAAAGACATCCAGGCACAACAAAGTCCCAGAAAATATGCGGGACCTATCTATCAAAAAGTTTGAAATACTATTAAGCTGAAATTGTTTAATAAGGGTTATTATACTACTAAAGAGTACACGATTGATATATAACAGAGTACAAGAATAACCCCTGGGAATGAGGTTATCGCTAGTTGCTACGATGCTGTTTCTTAATGTTTTCATACTCAATTGTATAAAATATATTATTATTAATTAATGTAAACAAAAAAGTCCCGCTGGGTTTCTTGCTGGTTGAAAAATATATATATACTTAGTAACCACATACAGAACACACATTTTATATATAATGTAAATAAAATAAATACCCTATATATATATATACATATAGAGCTATTTGTCAAAGAACAGCCAAATTTTAAATTTAAGTTGAAATATATAAATAATGATATACTTTTACTGCTGTTTTTGTAAATACGCGTAAATAAGGCTTCTACTTTTATTTGAAATTATCTCAAATTGAATGTGGGCAACAACGTTTTTGCCTACCGATCGACCCTCACGAATGTTTTTTGAACCACGCATTTTGAATTTAAATGATAAAAAGGACAGAATTTTAAAAAAAAAATTATCTTTTAAATTTGCCTATATTACTTATTCGGAACATTCTTTGCAAATTTATCCGGTTATTGTAAACTAACCCTGCATATATGTATATATACTTATATTATAGGCTTTTAAATTATAGATTATATTATTATATACCTGCAATATATATGAATAAAAAAGCGTTTTGCAATCAAGTTGTAAGAATATAACATCACAGTAGTGTATCGCACCGGTATATAATCACTTGGTTTTCGTAGTTTGCAGCACGATGTAAGTCATCTCGTGTAATTACGACAACCACGAAAGAAAATGATGCTTACCTATAGGCATTGTCCGGCAATCCTCCGTTACAACCTTGGTCCAGTCCATCGCAGTCAACTAGCTCCTGCTCGCTCAATGATACCAGATTACCTGTCTTTATCTTCCATTGACCCTCAATGTTGCCTGCAATTCATGTCAACCACATTATTATATATGTTATTTTGTTGAAATTATCTACACTCAAAACCTTAACTGATATAAAATGTTAAAAGTAACCAATATAATAAGTTCCGCCTAAAACACGCGGGATATATCATTACTAGTGATCGGATAATCGGATGCATATTTACCTAAAGTTCATTTTTGGCTCGGAAATTATGGAAGCGGCTTCTTAAAACATATTTATTAAAATATAAATCCCAGGATTACAGCAAATACGGGAATGCGAAAATAGTCTGTATCATAGTGAGGAAACGTCGTCTATAGCATGTAGTATTTATTAAAAAAGGGGGGAATTACATAATCAATTTATGAGAATGTTGAGTGTAAGAGGATCAGTAGGTAGTTGGTGTTAATTTAAAAAAAATTAAGAGAAAGTTATTATTTCTAGTTTTTATATAGAAAAGTTAAAATAAGTACATATACCTACACCCGATTTGATTCTATAATAAAAACAGTAAATTTGTCGATTCCGAAATCCCGGGATTTTTTCGATACATAAATGCATTCCATATTATCCAACACCTACACTTTATGCAAATATGCATCCGATTATCCGATCACTAATCATTACTCATACATATATCTTTATTTGTATATACCCAGGAGGTATAGTTGTGTTGTTTACATTTTTCTTTAGGTCGCATATTAGCTACATGAAAATTCATATTTCCTATAATGAAAATACAAGGCTCATAAAATGTATCATGACCTTAGGTGAACGAAAATCTCGTATGAAAAACTTCAAGACCTAAACCGCCTTGACGAATCATTTCAAGACATGTTGCGTTAACACTCAGCAAATATGCGTGACATTACAATAAATTAGACCTAACATTAGTACCTAAAGAAGTCTAGGTATTTCTTGTCATGACCATTACAGCCTATCAAAAGTCTATTGCTGAACATAGCCCTCCCACATATATTGCCTCGTAGGGGGGATATTTGCCATAGTAGCCACGCTTGACAAGCGAGTTGGCAACCCCAGATGCCCATCTCCTAGTTCTATTTCCTTCTCTCACCTTCTACGAAACCTACGGGATGATATGGGGTAGTGGACATTTTTCCTCTACACAGTTTCCTAAATAATTATTATTAGCAAAACTGCCCACTTACTGGACAGATTTACCCAAGGATTAGATACAATCACGATGCGTGGCTAGGGATTCGCACGGGCAATAAACCCATCATTGACAGATTTGGTCTGGCAAAGTTAAGATTGATATTCTGCCTCCTGGAAATTCCTAAAATTAAATTTTCGATACCCATCGAACCAGATAGTATAATGAATTCCCTGATAACTAAATAGTTAAAGTTACAGCCTATATACGTCCCACGGCTGGGCACAGGCCTCCCCTCATGTCTGAGAGGCTTTTTAGGACAAGAAAGTGTCCGCTGCGCTGCCCTAATGCGTGTTGGCGGACTTCACATTTCTTCGATATATATATTTTTTTCTTATTTCTCAGACATGCAGGTTTTCTCACGATGTTTTCCTTCTCAATTTCATTGGTGCCGGCGGGGATCGAAACCAGGTTCTTCGCGTACTGTGAAATTTACAGCGAGCGCTAACCATGTGAGCTACCATGGCTCCACAATATATGCGAGGTGTAAGTGTTAAACACCGTTATCACTAAAACCATAGGTAGTTGGTTTTAATATAAAAATATTTATCCGAATTTAAAAAAAAACGCTATTTCTTTCATAAAATTTAAAAAGTTTCTGTCCGACACCGTCCGTAAATTCATGGATACCCTATGCGCCCGAGTGACGTAATCACTGTAAAGATCACCGCCGGCCATCGGCATCACATCGGCCGCTGCTGTGTTCTTTACTGGAATTTACAGTGTCTACGCGCCTAGGGTGAAATAATTTTAAGGAAAAATTGAGATTTTACTAAAAAAAAATGTTCTTTTTCATTGAATTGACGTTCTATAAATGAAACCAAACCACTTGTTCCAAGGATAACGGTGTTTACACTAACACCCTGTATGTATATATACATATATTTATTCTATTATATATAACTAAATTAACTATATAGTATCTATTATAGATAACTAAATTGGTACATACGTAAATACGTGTTGGTTAAATTAAAAAGATTCATACCTGTAACACTGAAAGCCCAACAACTGCCACATGACCCTTGATTCTTTACTTCAGTAACAGCGCCACGTTCGCGCCAGTCGATCCGATCAGGCAGGCTAACATCCGGTATGGCTGCTTTCCTCATAGGAATATTATTATCATTTCTTAAGCTTGGCTTCAGCCCCAAATATTTACTGCTAAATTCCTCATATGTTAGGTCAGCAAATTTTGTAACACCATACGTTGCAGTACCTTTCTCGTGAGTGTTCAGTTCGTGGATCTTTTTCACGTTTTTCTTAAAGATTTCAAATCTCTGCAACATATTTTCACGGTCATTTAAATAGGCCGGTCTGTAGGTAGCCAGAAAATCGTAAAATAGATGTTGAGCTTGTAGATGTCTCTGTAAGGCATCGTGAAAATTCTCATAATTACACGTTACGCGAAAATTCGGGGGGTGGTCTGTCCACGGCCGCATCCATACGTTCACCCGACACAATGTGTTTGCACCCATATCACTGCTCAATGTACAATTTTGCTTAATGCTCAATGCTAAACAGTTTGTTGCGCCCACTTCCACTTCCATTCTATAGTGAACACCAGCCACAACTTGCTTTTTTAATGAAATTATCTTTACAATTTTTTGCCGCCGAGGATTGGGATACTTAGCTTCAATATGCTTTAAAGCTTCTGTAGCAAGAGTTATTGCGTTTTCAGAGTCCAAAGCGATATCTTGCACAGGATGATCTTCGCACGTAACTTCAATGTCTTTCCCATTCTTCAGCCACAGCCTTTCCCAAACATGTGATACACAATGTCGTTTAGGCAAATCTAAGAAATCACAATTAGTAATATTTTCTACTAATTCATGTTTCAAACACGATGTATAGCCTACGTTAAAGTCAATGGTGGTAACACGGCCAGACGTTATTTTACTAGAATAATTGTTTATTTGAAACAATCTCTGTTTTTGTTTGTGTGAAGATAACATTTCAAGTTTCTCTAGCGATTCTTGAGCTAATTTTTCAATAGCCGTTTGATCGCTTTGTGACAATTTTGAATTAAGTGATCGCTTGTTAATGATATGTGATTTTTTAGATTCTATTTTATGTTTTGGTCTTACTGTGACTACATGATTCTTGCCATTTTCTTTTACGCTTAATAATTCGCCTAGTAACGGTTGTTCATCTTCATAATCTTCGTCGTCGCCTTTGTAGCATTCAACATCTATTTTCATACGCCCCAACCACGGCCTATCCCAAATTTTAGTATGGCAATACAAAATACAACTTAACGGTTTCGAAGCGTCTTTTATACATTTTGGAGGAGAGGCAATGTAATCAATTTCGTACAACATTCCCGAAACAACTTTCATTACAACGCGTTTAACGAGAATAACCGCATGACGTCGTTTAATGCCTTCTAACTTTTCGTATTGACGTAATGATTTCTCAGCTAATAATTTAAATTCTGGGAGCGATGGATCTTGTTCCTCTCTAACACCTACATTCTTCTTCACTCGTTTCTTAACTCGACGGAAGCCGTCACCAATTTGACATAATACATCAATATCTTTCTTTTTAGCCCAAGGCTGCTCCCATACCTTTGAAACACAGCTTATGACGTCGCCTGAACCCTGTTCCGGCTTAATCTTAAAATATAGCGTAGTCAAGCTGCCAGAAACAACTTGGGATGTGACTCTTTCGATTTCGGTTACTTTGTGAGGGTTCGAGTTTCCCGATGTCTGAAGGAACTTCTGCATAGATTCCGTCGCCAACTGCATGTATTTCGGGTCATTAGGATTTTGCTCCTGTTGCCCGCCTGGTAGTTGTCTTTTAGTTCTCTTTGAATCATCACCAATTTGGCATGAAACATCTATATCTTTCTTATTAACCAGGCTGCTCCCATACCTTTGAAACACAGCTTATGACGTCGCCTGAACCCTGTTCTGGCTTAATCTTAAAATATAGCGTAGTCAAGCTGCCAGAAACAACTTGGGATGTGACTCTTTCGATTTCGGTTACTTTGTGAGGGTTCGAGTTTCCCGATGTCTGAAGGAACTTCTGCATAGATTCCGTCGCCAACTGCATGTATTTAGGGTCATTAGGATTTTGCTCCTGTGGCCCGCCTCGTATTTGTCTTTTAGTTCTCCATGAACCATCACCAATTTGGCATGAAACATCTATATCTTTCTTATTAGCCCAAGGCTGTTCCCATACCTTTGAAATACAGCTTATGACGTCACCTGAACCCTGTTCTGGCTTAATCTTAAAATATAGCGTAGTCAAGCTGCCAGAAACAACTTGGGATGTGACTCTTTCGATTTCTGTTACTTTGTGAGGGTTCGAGTTTCCCGATGTCTGAAGAAACTTCTGCATAGATTCCGTAGCCAACTGCATGTATTTAGGGTCATTAGGATTTTGCTCCTGTTGCCCGCCTGGTAGTTGTCTTTTAGTTCTCCTTGAACCATCACCAATTTGGCATGAAACATCTATATCTTTCTTATTAGCCCAAGGCTGTTCCCATACCTTTGAAATACAGCTTATGACGTCGCCTGAACCCCGTTCTGGCTTAATTTTAAAATATAGCGTAGTCAAGCTGCCAGAAACAACTTGGGATGTGACTCTTTCGATTTCTGTTACTTTGTGAGGGTTCGAGTTTCCCGATGTCTGAAGGAACTTCTGCATAGATTCCGTCGCCAACTGCATGTATTTAGGGTCATTAGGATTTTGCTCCTGTTGCCCGCCTGGTAGTTGTCTTTTAGTTCTCTTTGAATCATCACCAATTTGGCATGAAACATCTATATCTTTCTTATTAACCCAAGGCTGCTCCCAAACCTTTGAAACACAGCTTATGACGTCGCCTGAACCCTGTTCTGGCTTAATCTTAAAATATAGCGTAGTCAAGCTGCCAGAAACAACTTGGGATGTGACTCTTTCGATTTCGGTTACTTTGTGAGGGTTCGAGTTTCCCGATGTCTGAAGGAACTTCTGCATAGATTCCGTCGCCAACTGCATGTATTTCGGGTCATTAGGATTTTGCTCCTGTTGCCCGCCTGGTATTTGTCTTTTAGTTCTCCTTGAATCATCACCAATTTGGCATGAAACATCTATATCTTTCTTATTAGCCCAAGGCTGTTCCCATACCTTTGAAATACAGCTTATGACGTCGCCTGAACCCTGTTCTGGCTTAATCTTAAAATATAGCGTAGTCAAGCTGCCAGAAACAACTTGGGATGTGACTCTTTCGATTTCGGTTACTTTGTGAGGGTTCGAGTTTCCCGATGTCTGGAGGTACTTATGCATAGATTCTGTCGCCAACTGCATGTATTTCGGGTCATTAGGATTTTGCTCCTGTTGCCCGCCTGGTAATTGTCTTTTGATTCTCAGCGAGCTTTCTTCAGTCTCTTGACATGTCACATTAATTTCTTTTACGTTTAACCAGGGTTTTTCCCATACTTGCGAAAAACACCTTTGCGGGACTGATGTCGAATCCTTATTTTTTACTGCTATTCGAAATAAAATTCTTGTAAGTTTTCCAGAAACCACTTGCACGGTAACATTTTCTATTTCATCAACTATTAAATCTTGATCAACATTTGACGACTGTAAATATTTTAGTAACGATTCTTCTGCTAAAGACCTATACAATGGGTCATTTTTGTCCTTTAATATTTGTCCTCCAACAAACTTAAGATTTGGGGATCTCTGAGACCTCGCTGTTTCTTGTTTAAATTCTGAACTAATAGAATCGAAAAAACGAATCAAATCATCGATAGCTTTCTTTTCCCCATTCAAAACTTTTTCTTTATCTTTTTCTACATTAATAAAATTAGGATTTCGAGTATATTGTTCATTTGCTTTAGCTTTAGATATAATTTGCAAATTCACATGATCTAACTCTGAACTCTGTGTTATTTTATCGTAGCTTAACGTAGATGTTTCAAAGAAACGATTATAGGGAATAATTTCTTCTTCTAATTTTTTCAACTCTTCTGCTGTCAATGTCCTTTGAGTTAACTGCTCCGCTTGTAAATCTGAATTATGTATAGCCTTGAGTATATCATCCACAGATCCCGTGTTAGCAATTTTGTCGTAGTCTGGATTTTGTCTGCCGTCTTCCTTTCCTCCTTGATCATAATTGGAAGGATTTATAATACGGTCATTGATTTCCTTATTTCCGTCAGATATAAATTCGCCATCATCTCCGAAAACCCATTCTTCTGTGCAGTTGTTGGCCAAAATTGCTCTATATTTCAAGCCATTGTTAAACCTGATCCACGGTTTTTCCAAAATAGTTATTTTACAAGGCTTCATAAAGGAACATTCATCTGTTACTTCATTCGTACAATTGTTATAATCAACTTTTATCTTAAGAATATAACGTACACCGTTCACCACCTAAAACATGAAAGAACTTATATAACATGAGAATGTGAGAGCAAGAAAGCAGTAACTTCCAATTACTACCTAATATTTCAAACGAAATTAGGAACTAAATGATTAATGCTTTAAAGGACAGCAAACTTGTATTTTATCAATAAGGTTACAACTCACCTGAATCTGCCTCTCCACTTCGACGACCGTATTTAATGCATGCTTAACATTTGGTTCATGTCTGTTAAGGTGTCGAATTCCTAACCCAGCTAACTCATCGACACCAGCAGCGTGAGGATTCACAAAAGTCGAACATCCAATACACGGCGCCACTGGCGTTTCCTTTGGTATAGCGACAAACTGTTCCCCTGAGGTAACCTAAATCAAATTTAAAGTTAAAGTTTAAAGATACCTATGTATGTCCAACTGCTGGGTACAAGTCTCCTCTCACTTTTGAGCCGCACTGCCCTAATGCGTTTTGGCGGACTTCATGTCTTCGAAATATTTTTTAATTTTTCAGACACGCAGGTTTCGTCACAATGGTGTCCTTCACAGCCGAGCACGTGCATCTTAGCGTGGATTGAACCCGGGTTGCTCGCGTACTATGAAATTTACGGTTCTTTTAGGGTTTTAAAAATTACAAACGGCTGTTATCTTTTCACATCTATAAAATTGTAACACCCCCGTCTCAAAGAATATTAAATAGGTTTGATCAGGGTGATCCATCTTTGTATGAAGTCCGAGAAATTTGCACACAATCATAATTTTGTCTATGTGTGGTTTGGGCGTCTAAGATAATGGTGGTTAATATAGCGCATAGCGCCATATTATAGCGAGCTATCTCTTCATAACGCATAGCACGTGCTATGTAAGTAGTCGCCATGGCGCTATGACGCTATGACGCTTTGGCGCTATTCATATCAAGCGGCAATTAGTTCCAGCAGCAGCGCTGTTGGGAGTAGACGTGTGACACAAATTTAATCTAGCAGCACGCTATTCATCGCGCGCGATCTAATTTAGTGTTAGACGTTATTCAGTTAGTGTATACTGTATATTTATTAGTGATCTAAGGACACAGTTGTCTTCCACAAAAGAAGCCTAACTACTGTTTTTAAATGTAAATAAAATATAGATACAAAAGTGCATATAATAGTGTTTGTAAATAGTTGAATTATGTATATACAATCAATAAACTTTTAAATACACCTTTGATTTATAATTTATATTAGGGTTAAAATAACGTTTACGTCAATTATAATAAAAAATGATTAATTTTATTTTGTTTTAAGTACAGTCCTTAAAAATATTTTTAGGATTATAAAAAGTCGTATGCCTGAAAAGTATGAAAGAGCGTTCTTTAATTTTTCTTTACCACTTTATTTTATTTTAATCTAAAATGCGACTTATTACGAAACAATGTTCTTATATAGCACGCGGTCTATCCAATGAACGACATGTAATGTAGCATGCTCCGAGATATAGCGTACTGCTAAACTTAACGCGCTTGCCGGCCTCCTGCACACTTTTTTATAAAATTTCTAGTTTATAGTCTGTAGCGTGCTATTGATTTATAGTCGTTTGTTTCCTTCGCGTTGTTTCTAATATTGCACAAAACAACTTATATACTCTGCTTCGAAACAAACAAAATAAATAAGCAAAATGGCGGATTGTGACAGCGCTACTGAAGTTAGCAAACGTGTCCTGGCCGAAAACTGTATAGTTTCGCCATTCTGCTTACAAGCGCTTCCTAGCGCTTTTTTCTGTCAAACGCAACCAATAGTTACAGAATTCTATCAAAAAGAAGCGATGCATTAAAAGAAGAAAAAATGACATTTGGTTGTCAACGTCTTTCATATTGAAAATATTTTCTTAAATTTAATTCAGTTATTAACGGTTCAGAATACCTTATTTTCATTCATTGAGCTATTATGTACTACGTACTAGAGGCGACACTGCATTCAGCTACTCTGTTCCACTCAACTGCAGTGCATTACACCGCACTTTAATCAGTCACTCGCTAGGCGCTTGTAGGGTTGACACGTGTTGTGTTGGTTTTAAAAAAAATCTCTTGATAAAAATATGCCGTCGTGTGTACTTAGATATTGCACAAATAATTCAAGAAATGTCAGTAAAAACCAAGGAATTACTTTTCATCGGTTAATAATATACTTAATCAAAAAAAAATATTATAGATTAATAATAAAACAAATTATTCCTAAGACGCCATCTCGTGTCATGGAATATAGACTATGAAATTAATATATTCAGATGCGACATTTCTGTGTGTACTTAAGTATAGGATGAATATATTAGTACACATTTTTTTTAGTAGAAACATATATAAATTATTATAATTAGGCCAAATTTTTCATGTTTAAATCTGCTTATTATTCTTTTATGTTATTTTTAGGTTTACACATCAAAGTCAAAGTGGTATAAATTCGTCCATTTTTAACTCTCGCGTGCCCAGCATTTATGAACGACTCTTATTCTAATTTAAATAAACATATTTGTAATTTATATGTTATGTTAATAAGTTTTGTTAAACATACATTTAGTATGTTTTTTATATTTGACATAGATAACTCTTAAAATATTCAGGTAAAATATCGTTAAAATGTAATTGTGATATAATATTATGTAATAGTATATTAAATAAGCAAATATTATATTATATACAAAATTAATGACAAAATTTAAATATTGTTCTCGATATAATTTACCTACTTAACAATACAATCTAATATTACCTACGGATCATTCTACCTATGTTTATTCTATGATAAAAAAACAACCGCGCGAACACAGAGTAGCGCACTTTTTTGTTTGAGATAGCTGTTCTAGTACGTAAGTACATATTACTTCAATGTTTTCATTACACAAAATCATCTTATCACTTTCGCCATTGACTTATATATTACTAGCGTAAGGACTGGGTCGACCGAACAACTAAAACGGACCAGTGCGCTGGCCCTAAAATTACAGTTTAGGGCAAGGATTTAGGGCGTGGTAAAAGAATGCAAAAGTTACGATTCAAAGATTTAAAAAAAACATGGGATATCGTATTATCGGTAAATAACCTTATATTAATTTTGTTACAATTAAATTATTACATAAACGCATTTTTAAAGTTTTATTTTACAGTTAGTTTAGTTACGTTACCGAGATTAGGCCAGGGTTGGATTCAGACCCTCAAAAATATTGTACACAATGATTTCAAAAGGAAGGAGAGGCCTATCTAAATATTTTACTTACAACTTTTTCATACAAGGAAAAGTAGCGCATCTGTCATAATACAAACTTCATATCAAAACACGACGTGACCAGGGTCGGATTTCGTAGTATAATTATCCTAATTATAAATTTTTTATTACATTATTTTTCATAGTTTGTTGTACATAGTATCGTAATAATACTAAGCGAAAATACCATAATTTTACCTAAAGGTCGACTTGTACTATTATTGGGTCCTTTTACATTTTAATATTAACCCTACGATATAGAGAATTTCTGTATTGTACATGAGTACCGCGTTTTTTTAATAAAATTAGAATTAGCTGCCTTTCTGGTCAATTGATGCTCGATCGATCCTTTTCTTTTGTACTCTTTTCGTTTACCCTTATTCAGTGGCGAAGCTTCCATTATAGCCGAAAAGCAGGGCTTGCCTTATTAAAACTGAATCTATCAATAATATCGACTAATAAAATAACTCCTAAACTGTTTCAAATTATTTCAATTTTCCCGCGCACTCCACTGTTCGACACATAACGACCGATGACCTCGTATTGCCTTAGCGATACGTTTATACAAAGGTACTCTGTGGCGATACTGCTGCTGTCATAAAGTGAGTTGCAATAGAGCGATTAGTTGTCTCCCTCACTCGCGTGGGCTTTTTACGGAGCTTTCGAGAAGACGATCGCTTTTCTTTCTAACCTATGGCAAAAGATTCTATAATGAAATATAACTACGAAATGTTTTATATAGCAATTACTATTGAGCCAACAAGCCTGGCTTTGCCATGAAGTTGTTTAGGAGTGCGTTAGCGACTAGCGAAGTGGTTGCGGGCCCCTAGTATGCAAGTTCACTTCACATTTCAATTTTTATGTTTGTTTTTGTTGTGTTTGTTAAAAATTTATGCTTTTTCGAAGATTTTCAGTGAAAATGGGAGGATATAGTGTTCATTGTGATGAATATAAGTGTGTTGAAGTGATAATCGGCGAAGAAAAGGTAAAAATCTTTAAAAATGAAATTTAATATTCAATAAACATTTCTGCATACTTTAAATATAGGTACAGGACTCTTTAGTATTAAAGTTTAATTAAGTTAGGCGTATTTAAAGGTTTAATAACTCAATATTAATATTACCATACGAATTAAAAATATCAATTTGAACAGCAGCATAAAGTATGAGATCTAGGTTTAATTTTAGAGGAAATAAATGTTTCAATCTTTTTTTAACGTGAAGCCCAAATTTTAATTAAATAACTCAAAAGAATACAGAAGAATGTATTGAGTTTTTTAAAGAATAGTACTCCCTTTAGTTATTTCCAGTTAGGTTTCTCTGTCTACTTTTCAGTATATAAAATTTTAATGGCGCCATCTACTTAATTCTATACGTAAATTGAATAAAACTATTATTTACGGATTTTATCGCGTTTAATTACTTTAATTTATTTTTATTATTATCCCGACGTTTCGGATGCTTTACAGCACCCGTGGTCACGGGGGGGACTGAGATGTTTGAAGTCCCAATGTCATAGTTAGTCCGGCTACCTTCAGTTTTTTTTTATATTAATTTTTGGTCCGATTTACGCAAAACGAGCTTACAGTATCATGAAGTCTTGCAGTGGTATCTTGGGTTTGGGTTTAATTTTGTTAATTATAGGATCCCAAGCAGATGGTAGCACCCAACCATCTTCTCTATTGAAATTTGGATGTTTTTTAATTTCAATAGCTTCGCGTATCATCCTTGGTAGGAATCGGTGTTCTTTTGCGAGAATTTGTGGTTTATCAAATCATATGTAAGTGTGGGGACGATCTTGAACATGTTCGCAGACTGCAGACTTCCCGGAGCGTCAGTGCTTCACATCAGCTATATGTTCCTTCACGCGGGTTTTTATACATCTCTTTGTTTGACCTATGTAAGAGAGACCACATTCACAATCTAGCTCGTACACACCTGCATCTTATAGAGGAATATTACATTTGATGGATGGTAAAAATTGACTAATCTTCTTCAGCGGCTTGTAGTATGTCTTAATGGACGCTCGCTTCAAGATGTAGCCAATCTTGTCCGTGACTCCTCTGACATATGGTAGTAGAGCAGGCGCGCGCTCGGCTGTGGCCGGTTTCACTCGTTCACTGTGACGTAGGCGCAG